CCCTCTTGGTGCATTCAGATTCCTCCTCACACCTGCTGCGTTCCCTCAAGCACTCCACCCTCTGTGCCTGTTTCTCTTCTGTGTGAACACATTCCTGTTCTTTGGTTCTTTTGTTCTTTCAATTGAAATTCATTAAAATAGTTACTTAGCTTTAAATTTTCTCCCACAGATCTTTGTAAGAAGAAGCATGTCCTCAATGCTACGGGGTGCCATTATGTTTGGCTCTAACAATCTACTCCTTATGGTTTAGCAGAGAGGTGTCCCCCAAAGATCACATGTGAGACAATGTGAGAATGTTCGGAAGTGCAAGACTGGATTTTGAGCGCTGTAGCCTAGTGGGTGGATCACTCCCTGATGTGCATTCTCAGAGTGATGAGTGTGGGAGGGTAGGGTGGGACTGGAGGGGGTGGCTGATGGGGTGTTCCTGATGAATGGAGCTGTCTCCTGGTCTCATGCCTGAGCGTCCTTCCTCTGGAAGCCTCTGCCCTAATGTTCTGCTTCACCCCAGCCCAGGGCAATGGAGTTGGCCAACCATGGACTGACCCCTCTGAAACAATGAGCCAAAGTGAACTTTTCTTCCTGTATGTTGTTCTTGTCAGGTCTTTTTGTCACAGCAGGGAAGAAGCTGCCTTGCACCCTGCCAGACACTGGCCCAGATTGTGGTGCCGCCTCCTCTTCCCACCAGCAGTGCAGGGTGGGCAGTGCCTGCACCATGGCCAGCGCTGGGGAAGCCTGTATCAGGCCTTCTGAGAGCGTGCGGAGCCTCACACTTGACTCTGGCCCACGTTTCCTAGAACTCACGGTGCTGAGCGTCTTGGCTCTGTGCTTGTTTGCCATCTATTTATCTCCTTCAGTGAAATGTCTGTTCACATAATTTCCCCATGTTTAGTTGAACTTGGGAGGGTTTTTCAGGCACTCTGGACAGGAGTCACTTATGTTATTTCTAGATCTTTTCCAGACTTGAACTTCCCCCTTTGCCTCTGTTTTAGGAGCGTTGCTACCAAGACCTCCCTAAGAGATGGCTGGTGGAGAGAAGGGAGTGGGGGAAACCACGTCAAGGCCTTTGGTTGGTGGAGGGCTCTGGGGGGGTACAAACCCATCATGCCTTGTGTTTTCTTCAAGTCATTAGTGGATATTTTCTGCAATATTTGACTTAGGCTATAATTTAAAACCATCGGCCCTTCACAGCTGGCCTGTGAACAGCTGCAATGGCAGGTCAGTGGACAATATCCCTTCCCACAAATAGGCACAGGGTGACTTAATATTCACCCTCAGAAAAATGAGCTTTGCTCCATGTTCTGTGCCGTAGACAAATACTAACTTGAAATGAATCTGAAATGCAAGTGTAAAAACACAAACAATAACACTTCATGAAAAAAAATATGTATGAGAATCTTCGTAATCCTGAATTAGATACAGGCTAGATAAAGTTTAGATTCTGTATTAGATACAGTATAAAAAATACTTAACAAAATCTGGGTAATAATGATTTTATTAAAATTAAAATTTTTGCTCTTTAAATGGCAGTTCTCCGCATGGATAAGTTGTACTGCAAGAAAGTAGTCTATGCTTGGTGATTCACTTCTTGACTGAAAATTCTGTAAAGTGAAAACTTATCTATAGACAGGAAGCAGATTTGGGACTGTTTGGGATGGTGAGAAATGGGCCGATGGGTGAGGGTCAGATTTACAAAGGAATGTGGGGAATTTGGGGGGGGGTGAAGATATGTTCACTACATGGACTGTGGTTTCACAGATAAAGAGATACATATATAGAGGTATATATATGTATGCGTGCATATATATTACCAAATTGTACTTTTAATTATACCTTAATAAAAATGTTGGAGAAAAGGCATCCTGCCGAGTGGAAAAGCCAGCGATGAAAGGCTTCAAGCTGAATGACTTCACCTGTGTGTCTCTCGGGTCAAGTCCATGCTACTGAGAAGGAAAGAAGGAGGGTGCTTGTCAGAGGTCACAGGTTGGGGGAGACTGTTTTTAAAGGGACAAGGGGATATTTTAAAGCATGGGAAATCTTCGTTACTTTGATTTTGGTGTTACTTGTGTGACTATATCCTTTTGTCAAAATTAATCAGATGCCAAATTGTTCCGTGTGTCATTTGTAAATCAACAAACTTTATTAAACACAAAATGAAAACATCCACAGCTGCTCCAATGATTGAGATGCCTGAGAAAAATTTAGGCTGCTTGGGGACAGATTCAGGGGGATATCACATGAACTGAGCTATGGTTCACACTCCCCAGGGTGAGGACGACACAGCTCTGCAGGTCCCAGGGGTGGGGTGGGGGGTTGCTCATCTGGACCATGCAAACCTGCCTTCCTCAGGTGCTCAGCCTGAACAAGCCCATTTGGCATCCTTTGTTGGGATGAATGAGGAAAGAAACAGCCATCCTAAATCCCTGGTGCTGGGCTGCAGGTGGGGTTCAACTTTGGGTCTTCCTGCCATGAAGAGTCTGGGAAGATTGAACAACCCACTTCCATCTTTTGGATCTCAGTTTTACCATCTATAA